AATAAAATAAAATAAAATAAAATAAAAAACAGAAAAAAGATTAAGTGAATTTACCACCTATGAAGGACATACTTGAACTAACAGTAGTTTTTTAAAAAAATAAAATAAAAACTTCTTAACATATTAAGGAGGAAATTCATTATGTATATTGTAAAATAATACTCATCACTAATTATGAATGAGAATTAAGATTAAAATGTGATTTTAGTAGTTATATTGGATACATTAATTTATTGACATGCTCCTAGACAGGTATAAAATGCTTCATAAAATGCTCTTTGTATTATTTAACTTGTATTTTTTCAGAATGCAGTATAATTATGTTCTTTTTCTTTATATTTTAGGATGAAGAGCTAGCACGGCGTCTCATTTGGGAAAAGAATCTCAAGTTAGTGACGCTTCACAATCTGGAGCATTCGATGGGAATGCATTCATATGATCTAGGCATGAACCACCTGGGAGACATGGTAGGTGAATTTCACATAATCCTACTTTCAAGCTACTGTGTGAGCTTGATTTCTGTTTCCCCTCAAACACTCTGAAGGTAAACCCCACCATCAAGGAGAGTACAGCTGTAAGTGGACAAAGTTAGAAAAGTAGAATTCTGAGGTGCCTTACTTATTTGCACATTTCCTCATGTAGTTCTACTTTGGCTACTTTCCTTAACAAATCCCTTGTCTAGAGGAAGTTTTGAAATCACAGACTACTGTTGCTTTTATTTTTTTTATGAATTCTGAAAAGCACTGCCTAGAGACTACTCACAGTCTTTCATATTAAGTTACCATACTTCTTTAAGTCTAAATTAACAATTTTCCCCCAGGTTTTTGCCATAGGAAGCATGAGCTCACCAGAGAGAGACAGAGAGAAAAAGAGAGAGAGAAAGTGAGAAACCACCCCCTGTAGGGAGGGTGGTCATGCTGAAATCCCTTCTCCTCGTCTCCTCTCAGGGCTTTGGGTACCCCCGCACAGGCACCCAGCATGATTTCAAGCCACAGGGTCTGGGACTCAAACTGTGGTTGGCCATGTGGAATCCAGTGCCTTAACCACCACGTCACCCACTGGAACCTAAACTGACAAATTTTTTTAGAGGTTTTTGCCTCAGGGTGTGTGTGCTCACCAGAGAGACAGAGAAAGTGAGATATTACCTACCCCCCAGGAAGGATAGTCATACCGCAATCCCTTCTTCTCCACTCTTCTCCCAGGATCTTGGGCATGCACACACACACACACACACACACACACACACACACACACACGTGCCCAGCATGTTTTAAGCTACCAGGTCTGGGACGCGAACAGAGGTTGACCATGTGGGAGTCCAGCGATGTAACTGCTACTCTATCTGCTAACGCCTAAATTAGCAATTTACTATAGTCTACCTGATTTCTTAATGGAAGCATATGCGTATTTGCTATCACAAATCTCCCATTAGTTTTTAGATTCTGTATTAATTTTTATATTCTTCAGCCACTGTGACTAAAGTTAAGAACAATGGTATCCTTCGGAAAGGAACACCCGAGATGTACCAAATTCCTACTAAAATGCAAAAATCTCCTTTGTAATACTTTCTGACAAAGAAAACCAGTTGTTCTATTGTATTTTTTAGACAATTGATTAAAGTCTGTCTTGCTTTGAACCAAGAATCTCTCTCCCTATAACTTCTAGTGCTTCCCATTTTCTTTCTCTCCTTCCCAGTGAGGATGCATAACTGGATTGCCATTCCAAACTACAAGACTAAAGAGACCAGATAATTCACCCCCCCAATAAACAACAGTATTTATGCTGTTCACAACTATCACTAATTATTCTATTAAAAAAATATATTCACATTTACAGTTATAAAGATATTACAAAGAGGGGCCGGCAGGTGGCGTGGTGATTAAGGGTGCTGGACTCCCACATGGCCAAGCACAGTTCAAGTCCCAGATCTGGTGGCTTGCTTTCTCGCTTTCCCTCTCTCTCTCTTTCTCTCTCTCTGTCCCTCTCTGGTCAAATTAAAATAAATAAAGTTAAATAAAATAAATCTAAGGAAAAAAGTTCATTGAAAGATGAAATTGAAGTATGAGTTTATTTTTAAAAAACATAAAGAAAAGTGAAAGGGATATGTATGTATATACATATTTATTTATTTGCTTTGTAGACTAGTGAAGAAGTAGTGTCTTCGATGTGTTCCCTGAGGGTTCCCAGCCAATGGCAGAGCAACATCACTTACAAATTAAGCCCTAATCGGAAATTACCTGAGTTTGTGGACTGGAGACAGAAGGGATGTGTTACTAACGTGAAATATCAGGTGAGTATGATCACGCCAAGCTTCTGCAATCTATGTGTTTCTTTTGTTTTTTTAACAGCAGACGGCTTAATGGTTACGTTGCTGGACTTCCACTTGGCCAACCACGGTTTGAGTCCCAGGCCTGGTGACTTGAAACTCATGCCAGGCACCTATCCACATGTGCCCAAAATTCTAAGAGGATAATGCAGAAGAGGGGATTGTGGTGTGGCCATCACCCTTGGGGGGATGATTTTTCATTTCCTGTCTGTCTCTCTTTGTCTCTCTGGTGAGCACATATGCCCTATAGCAGACATAAAGAAAGAAAGAAAGAACTATTGGACCAGCAGGTGGTATGGTGGTTAAGGTGCTGGACTCACACATGGCCGATCATGGATTGAGTCTTGGACCTAGCAGCTTGCTCTCTCACTTTCCCTATCTCTCTGTGTGTTTCTCTCAGGTCAAATTAAAATAGTAATAATAATAGCCAGAAATAAATAAAATTTAAATTAATTACTTAATTTATTAGTATGATTTAATTTGACCAGAGAGAGAGAGAAAGAGAGGTGCAGGATTTGAACCATGATCAACTGTGTGTGAGTCCAGTGCCCTAACAACTGCACTACCTGCTGGTCCCTTTGTGTGCTTTCTTAAATGCTTAGTCTAGCTGCATAATTTGGCAATGAATATCATAGTCCTTTGTGTTACTTTCTAATTATTTCTGTTACTCTTGTCTTCCCAACTAAATTGTATGTTCCTTGAGGGCAAGGATCACACCCACAGTTTGTTTCTATTCTTCACCGGTGCTTAGGACGTAAGTGGTTATAGAGCCACCTTAAACAAACACTGTGAACCAAGTCTTTGCTTGTTTGTTGTTTTTTTAAAGATCTTTCTTTTTTCACTTTATTTACTCATTTATTTATTTATTTTAATTTGACCAGAGAGGGACAGAGTGAGAGAGAAAGTAAGCTGCCAGGTCTGGTACTTGAACCGCGGTCAGCCATGTGGGAGTCTTAACCACCATGCCACCTGCTGACCCTTTGCTTGGTTTTAAAGATAAACTTTAGTGCTCATGTTATGCATCAACTGCACTGAACCCTCAAGCCAACTGCATAAAAAGCAGTGTCGTGTGCATAAGAGAACCCTGATTAGGAAGTCTCTCTCCATCTTAGGTATGAATTTCCGGATTGGAAGGAAGGAGGGAACTAGGGCTAATGGAGCCTACGAATTATACTACCTGTCATGCTGATTCACAGCCAGGCTTGTGATGTTAGGACATGAACGATGTGTTTTGCAAAGTTGTTCCTAGGTTGCTGTATTGTCCTCTAGTTTGCTTGTTAAAAAAAAAAAAAAAAGTACAAAAACCCTAAGTTAGAGATAACCAACAGTAACACACACATGTCACCTGGGAAGTCAGGGTAAGGGAGAAGACTCAGAGGAGAGTTTTGAGTAACTGCCCCAACTTGTCACCAATGAAGAAAGTAAAAAAATGTATTAGACGTGAATGGCACTGCTAATCTTTTATTCTTTTCTGCCTATATATTTTTTTTTCAACTAGTTTTGGGTTTCTTATTTAAGCTTCTCTGAAATAAGGGTCTGGGGAGACCCAGTAAACTACATGTTTAGTGTTAACTGCATAATGTAATGAGCTCCTTTCCCCAGGTGGTTGCATTTTAGTGAGTACTTTTGCTTCACCAGAATTTCAATTTGGGTCCTTTAAAAGTGAAGTAGGGAAGGGACCAGCAGTTAACGTAATGGCTATGTCGCTGGGCTCCCATGTAGTCGACAGCAGTTCACATCCCAGACCCGGTGGCTTAAAACTCACGCCGGGCGCGTGTCCGTGCGTGCCCAGGATCCCGAGAGGAGAAAGGAGGAGAAGGGATTGCGGTGTGGCCATCCTCCCTGGGGGGTGATTTCTCGCTTTCTGTCTCTCTGTCTCTCTCTGTCTGTCTGGCGAGCGCATGTGCCCTGTAGCAAAAACCTCTCTCCCCCCCCCCAAAAAAAAAAGTGAAGTGGGGAAGAGGGGAGAAAAGAGAAAGAGAGCCGCCATGATGGGCACCTGGGTACTCAGCACTTCTTTTCTTCTTCTAGTTTTTATTTATTCCTTTCTTTCAATCAGGGAGACAATAAGAGAGTCAGGAAGGCAGAGAGAGAGACAGGCACCCTCCAACAGGACCTTAACAGTGCAGCCCGGCCTCAGCCAGCCAAGGTCACAGGCAGGTGTGTGCACCCGGCTTGCACAGCGAGACCTTGGGACATGAACCCACGGCATTCCCATCTGGCCTCAGCGTCAGAGTGTGGAATTACCTCTGCACTACCACCCTGGCTTCTCTGCACTTTTTAAAACTACAGCAGCTTAAAGAAAAAAAAAACTACAGCAGCTTGTGGTTTTGTGTTTGTGCCTTCTTGTAAAGTGTTTTTTGATTACAATATTCTGGAGACAGGGTCAGCAGGTGGCATAGTAGTTAAAGTGCTGGACTCCCACGTGTCTGACCATGATTTGAGTCCTGGACCCAGCAGCTTCAAAATCACACCAGGCATGTGTGTGTGTGTGTGTGTGTGTGTGTGTGTATGTGTGTGTGCGCACACGCAAATCTCAACAGGAGAATGGAGAAGGGATTGTGGTGTAGCCATCCCTTCTGAGGGGTTGAATTCTTACTTTCCTTCTCTCTGTCTCTTTCCAATGAGTGTACTCACCCTATAGCAAAAACTTAAAAAATAATAATAATCTGAGAAAAACAATGTGTCAGACAAGGGGAAAGATATTTTAGGTCCTCTCGGAATCAGTCTGCCATAGGCATCTATCTCTGGAATGTAATGTGTGGGGGAAGATAGGTGGGATTTGGTGCATGCTCGGTGAGTGCTCTTTCTTGGTATGTTTCTGTGTGGCTGATGTGCTCTGAGCCAAGCCATTTGCAAGTCTCTGTTAACATTGGACCTCACCTAAGAGCAATCACACGCAGTCACACATTACTCTAAGAAAGGCGATTCTGTCACTGTGGGAAGGATTACACTGTGTACTCACAAACTGAGATGGTCCAGGCACCGCACGCCAAGACTATGTAGTGTGATGTGGGACCACCAACGCGAATGTGGTCCATTGCTGAAATGCTGCATTTGGCATGGGACTATATTTAGTCTTCCTTCTCATTGCCTAAGAGAGAAGGGAAGTGTGGAGAGCTCTTCCTGGGAACTACTGATGCGGCTGACACAGTTGGAAGATGCCCGGTTCATGGTTTGTGTTGCCAGCGTCATCCTCACTGACTCTCTGTGATTGCCTTTCTGACTTTGTCTCTGTTTTAGGGTGCGTGTGGTGCTTGCTGGGCTTTCAGTGCTGTGGGGGCCCTGGAAGCACAGCTGAAGCTGAAAACAGGAAAGCTGGTGTCTCTCAGTGCACAGAACCTGGTAGACTGCGCCACTATACAATACGGGAATAAAGGCTGCAATGGAGGCTTCATGACAAGGGCTTTCCAATACATCATTGATAACAACGGCATTGATTCAGAAGCTTCCTACCCCTACAAAGCCACGGTATGTCGCAGCAGACATTTCGTGCTGCCCCATGACCTCCTGCTATCCATTGACTGGTAGCTCTGGGCTTACCACCAAGCACAAGCCAACAGTTCTTTTTCTTAAGCACTCTTCACACACACACACATATATATATATATATGTATATACTTATTAAGTATATACATATATATATATACACTTTAAATTTTATTTTATGATTTCTTATTTGCAGTTAATCATGGTTGAACTTTACAGCATCAACTGTGGTTTTTCTTTGTTTCCTCCTTGATTCTCTCCTTCTTCTCCCCCCATTGCCCATCACCCTTGCACACTGTCTCTTAAATTCGCTTAAGTTTTCTCTTTCTTAATTTATTAGTGACACAACATTTTTAAACAAGTAGGTGGTTAGGACCAGCAGTTAGCATAATGGTTATGTTGCTGAACTCCCATGTAGTCAACCACGGTTCAAGTCCCAGACCCGGCGGCTTAAACTCATGCTGGGTGCGTGTGCGTGCGTGCCCAGGATCCCGAGAGGAGAATGGAGGAGAAGGGATTGTGGCGTGGCCATCTCCCCTGGGGGGTGATTTCTCTGTCTCTCTGTCTGTCTGGCGAGCGCACGCGCCCTATAGCAAAAATCTCTCAAAAAAAAAAAAAGAAAAGCATGTAGTATTCATGCCTAAAAACAGACTTTATGGGACCAGCAGCTGGTGTAATGGCTACGTCGCTGGACGCCCATGTAGTTGACCGTGGTTCGAGTCCTGGACCCGGTGGCTTAAACTCACGCCGGGTGCGTGTGCATGCATGCCCAGGATTGCAGCATGGCCATCTCTCCTGAGTGATTTCTTGCTTTCTGCCTGTCTCTCTGTCTCTCTCTGTCTTTCTGGTGAGTGCCCATACCCTATAGCAAAAACCTCTCTCAAAAAAAAGAAAAAATAAAAAATAAATAAAAGACTTTATGGGCCAGGCCCATAGACTGGTCATGGTGACTTAAAAAATATGCTGGGTGTATTTGTATGTGTACCCCAAATCCTGACAGGATGGAGAAATGGAGGAGAAGGGATCGCAGTATTACCACACCCCATTGGAGGTGCTTTCTCCCTTTTTCTCTCTGTCTCTCCCTGGCCAGCACAAGCACCCTTTGGCAATTAAAAGCAAACCAACGAACAAAAACAGACCTTAAGCAAAGAATTCTTAAAATTCTTTCTGCCTGTCTGCTTGACATTTAAATGTTTTTGTCTTGTAGCTTCTTGTGCTCAGCCTGTTCTCAGGCTATCCACAACATTATTCTCCCACCTGCTGAGAAACTAAGTCATGCTCCTCCTCAAAGGTCATTACACATGTTGAAAATATGAATAATAAGTCCATATTTCAGAAACTTTAGAAAAGATTAAAAAAAATCACAAAAACTCCTACTTTTACCACTATTATTTTGGTTTATTTCTTCCAAGTTCTTTTTCCTGTTGAGCATTGAGAAAATACGTATAAGCGTAACAAACATGGATTTCAACAAATACGTATATTTCAATACATTTCTTTTCTTCCTTGAAAATATGCTTACAAGATTTTTATTTTATATGGACTTTATAAACCATCTTCTTAACTACAGACCACCATGCAGGCATTATATCGTGAAAAGATTTGAAAGCTCTAGTTTCGAGTTCGTGGTCCCTACAAGCCACCCTAGAGACCAAGGGGGCGTTGTCCTGGCAAGTGTTGCAAGTATGGAGATGTTCACGATGTACAATAGCGGGTTGGTTCTGTATTTCCTCTGTTATAGGCGAACCCTCGAAATGTCAGGATATAGACGATTAGATTTTTCTTTCTTTAAAAAGAAGAAAGGATAGGCCAGCATGGTGGTTAAGGCAGCCGGATCCCACATGGCCAACTACGTGGTTGGAGTCCTGGATCCAGCAGCTTCAAAAACACTCAGGGCATGTGTGCACGTGTGCTCCAGAACCCTCAAGAGAATGGAGGAAAAGGGATTATGGCCTGGCCATCTCTTCTGGGGAGTACATTTTTATACTTTCATCTCTCTCTCTCTCTCATTCTGTCTCTCCCCAGAGAGTGCACGTGCGCTTTAGCAATCTAAAAAAAAAAAAGAAAGGAAGATAGAGCCTGATATTTGAAAAGGTTAAAATGAGGAAAGAAATATATTTGAAATTCCGGCTCAGGATATTAATGGTTTGTAAAGAAAATTGAAGTATATTGTTTGTCTAATTTACACCTTTTTTTGCAGGATGAAAAGTGCCAGTATAACTTGAAAAACCGTGCTGCCACATGCTCCAAGTACACACTACTTCCTTCTGGCTATGAAGAGGCCCTGAAAGAAGCCGTGGCCAACAAAGGGCCTGTGTCTGTTGCTATAGATGCGAGTCATTCTTCTTTCTTCCTCTACAGAAGTGGTAAAAACTCAGACGTAATATCGTGGTGTTACAGGGGGCCTAGGTCTATAAGAATGTTATCCTTCCTTATTACTCCAACTCTGAGTGTTTGGACGGATTAAACCAAACCTCTCCTTTCATATAAGTATTTTATACCCAGTCCTAATTAGTAAGGTAAATTTTTATCAGGGTTTACTCATACTACACGAGAGATGCTATGGTAACTTCTTTATGTGTATTATCTATTTAATCCTCAATAACCTTACTTTATAGATGAAAAAAAGTTTTTAAAAAGTTTCTTCATTTTATGAGAATCAAAGACAAATGGGGAGAGAGAGAGAAAGACAGAGAGGGAGAGAGGAAGGCACCATTGACAGGGTCTCTCACGCTGAGATCCTCTCCCGCCGGCCCACTGGTCAGTTGGTATCTTAGGCAGGCACTCCCAAATGAAAACTAAATTTTAGAGGGCTTCATTTGCCTACAGTCACATAATCTGAAAGTGGTTGAACTGGGATTAAAAACTGTGCAGGCCCAGCCCAGGGAGTGCAGTGCCCAGTGTATGGACGGCATTTCGAGAAGCTACATGCTGAATTCAGGTTCAGATTCCTGGTCCTGTGGACCTGAAACTGTGCGTTGTGTAGGCGTAGGTGACCCTGCCCTGCTGGAGGGCTGGAGGAAGGAGAGAGGGTATGAGCAGACCTGTGGAGAGTGTTTCTGTCTTTCTTTCTTTTCCTCTCTCTTCTCCTTTTCCCTTTGTGAGCCCACACATGCACTCTATCATGAATAGATTGACAAACAAAATAACTATGCAACGTGGTTCCAGAGCCTGTGCTCCTAACCGCCGTGGAGACGGTGTAGTATAGATGTAGCACAGCAGCATGTAATAGGAAAGCACCTACGTGTTTTTTTAGAGACAGATTTTTGCTATAGTGCACATGCACTCACTAGAGAGCCAGAAAGTGAGAAGTCACCCACCCCCACCCTCCAGGGGGAGTGGCCACACCACCATCCTGTCTCCTCTTGGGATTTTGGGCACACATGCACACATGCCTGGCATGAGTTTTAAGCCACCAGGTCTGGGACTTGAACCACAGTCGACTACATGGGAGTCCAGCAACATAACATTATGCCATCTGTCGGTCCCCCTACTACTTTCTTTAAGGCTGAGCCGTAAAAGAAATCTTTCTCTCTCTCTGGCGAGCACATGCACCCTATAGCAAAAACTATAAAACAAACAAACAAACAAACAAAAAACAACCCACAACCCTACGAGACTGAATGATGTATTTCCTGAGCACCGACTGAGGATAGAAAACTATATTAGATAAAGTAGGAAACTAGAACATACTTTTCATACATCACTTTAAAAAGCATTTCATCTAGGGAACTAAACAGACAAGACAGTAACACAAGGCTCTGTGAGGCCAATCCACGTGCGAAGGTCTGGGGTTCCCAATCCTCCTGGGGCCTCTGAGGACATGAAAGAGCGTACACGTGATCTGGGCTGGTGAGGCTGGAATGCATCGTGCAATGAAGATTGTTAGCGGTGCTTCTCTCTCTGTTTCCCTAGCTCATAGGAGACAATTACTTTAAAACATTTTTATTCATTTAATAGAGGAAGAAAATGTATGGAACAATTTAGAAATATATACAAAGACATACAGTAACTAATTGTATATCAGGTTTTTTTTTTAATTGGTAGATAAAGGTAGTGGCGTATCAAAGAAGGTTTTTGAGGGAACTATGACTGAGTCCATACCAAACTTGGCAAGAAAGTTGACAAATACAGCATTGATGGCAGGAAATAATGAACTCTAAACAGCTTAGCTATGAGAGTATATGTTTCTATCATTTTAGTTAACTTTGTTGTCTATCCAAAACAGTTTAATCAAAAGTAATAGCATTTTCAGGGCTGACAGGTGGCGAGGAGGCTAAGGCACTGCACTCTCACATGGCTGACTCTGTGGTTCGAGTCCTGGCCCCAGAAGCTTGAAAATCACCCCAGGCGCGTGTGCGTGTGTACCCAAAATCCCAAGAAGAGAATGGAGAAGAAGGGATTGCTGCATGGCCATCTCCCCCTGGAGGGTGATTTCTCACTTTTCCTCTCTTTGTCTCTCTGTCTCTCTCTAGTGAGTGTACATGCCCTATGGGGGAAAAAAAACTTTTAAAAAAGTTATGATGTTTTCGAGTAGACAGTAAATAAATATAGTTATACAGTAAAAGAGAGAGCCGGACAGAGAGTGGGGCAGTCTGGCCTCTAGAATATCAATGCTGATGGATTCATCTAAATGACGGAGCAAACTGGGATTGCTTTGGAAGTGGCCTTACCTGGAAGTTTCTGGCCAGCACAACTGTGGGCACAGCCCAACCACCATCTCCCGGATCTTGTAAAGATGTAAAGCCATCTCATAGTGGCTGATAAGGTCCGGATAGATAATCCTGGTGGCTGGTGGAGGGAGCCACCCCACTAGCTGAGTAGGAGCCTGGAATCCGGAGCAAGCACAGTGCAGCCATAGCTTCGCTTTGGGGAAGTGGGGGAAGGGAAGTCTTCCCAAAAGTTTTAAAATCATATTTTGAAAATTTCTCTACCAAAAAAATCTTAATTTACAAATCACAAAGATCTTATAATTTACAAATTAGAAGGCTGAATTGATTCTATTTCTAAGCTCAAATAAATCAAAAAGTTAAAAAAAAAAAGTAGTGTTTTAAGTTTAAAATTTTAAATTTGCTAGAGGATATATACACTCACCAAAGAGAGACACAGAGAGAGGGGAGAGACAAAGCACTCACCAATGGGGTGTGGTCAGGCCACAATCCCTTAATTTCTCTATTCTGTCCAATCTTGGGCACACGTGCACACACACTTGAAGTGTTTTTCCAGCTGCTGGGTCCAGGGTTCAAACTGCCTGATTAGCCATGTGGGGTCCAGCTCCCTTAACGGCAGCATTTTCAAATGCCTTTTATTATCATAAAGCATTCACCCTTCCTCCCTGCCCGTGTTTTATTCCCAGGTGTCTACTATGAACCATCCTGTACTCAGACTGTGAATCATGGTGTACTGGTGGTTGGCTATGGTAACCTTAACGGGAAAGACTATTGGCTCGTGAAAAACAGGTAATACATTTGCACTTTAATGTGTATTTAAAGTCAGAAATGCCAGGAAACACCAACAAATGCTCTCTTGTGATTAGGATGATGATGATGATATTGACAATGATAAACACATATAACTTCTTACAAAGTGACACACCGAATTACTCAGTGCTCCCATTTCTTCACTTACTATAGTCTGCCTTCATCACTCTGTTCTTTTCTTTTTCTTTTTTTTTTTTTGCTTTAGAGAGTGTGCGCTTGCCAGACAGACAGAAAGCGAGAAATCGCCCCCCAGGGGAGATGGCCACACCACAATCTGTTCTTCTCCACTCTCCTCTAGGGATTTTGGGCATGCACACACACACACACACACACACACACACACACACACACAGCGTGAGATTTAAGCCACCGGGTCCGAGACGTGAACTGCGGTAGACTACGTGGGAGTCCAGCGATATAGCCATTACGCTAACTGCTGGTTCCCTCCTCTTGGAATTTTCGACATGCATGCATACATGCCCAGCATGAGTTTCAAGCCACTGGGTACAGGACTCAAACTTTGGTCAGCCACCTATGAGTCCAGTGTCCTAACCACCATGCCACCTGCTGGCTCCAGCCCCTCTTCATTTTAAACCCATCAGAGCCAAAGACTCAATTCATTTTTAAATTATCTCTATATTACTAAGACACACACACACACACACACACACACACACACACACACACACACCAACACTGAACCCT